AGTCGGGACACAGCCCAATAACAATGATAAATTCATTAAAAATAAGATGCAAAGCTCAATTCTCAATTCCTTCCTTGATAATTCAGGATGGAAGGATATCATGCACAGAATTTGAGTTTCTCAATTGTTCAATTATTCCCTTACGAGTGATAACAGCTCAAAGTGCGAAAAGGTGGACATACATCCTAAAACCGGAACAGGGTTCAACACAGGAGAGTGAGAGTGTGAAGCCTTCAGTAATAAAACTTTTCCACTAAAAAGAATAAGAAATTGCTAACAGAGCCTGAGAGGCCGAGCTCGAAGAGTCTGGACAGGGATTTATCACTGAATTAAAAATTTTGAATAACATTCGGGGGTTGTGGCTATTAGTTTCAATAATATTTGATAGGAAAGCTGCTTTAGCTGCCTTTGCGGAGTTCTGGTATAGAAAGCGGCTCCTACAAAGAATGTCATAGGATATCTGAAGCCTGTCTTTTTTCCACCTCCTTTCAGATTAACGGCAGACACGACGTAAGGCTCGTATAGTGTCATTTAGTCATGGTTGATGAGAAGTTCTGGGATGTTTCATCTTTATAGGGGCCACAGTATCTAAGATGGAACAAAAGGTGGATAGCATAGCGTTGGCAAAATCATCAACCAATGGAAGTGTGTAACAGTTATTATCAGTGAAATCTGGATCAAAAAAAGTTTAAAAAGGCCATAATGAAGTTAGCCACAGTCTCAGAGTTAATGATACGTACAGGGCGATGACAGCCTTTAGAGTTTAAATCAATTGCACATAGCTCAACATCAAACATGACCACAAAATGGTCAGAAATACCAGCATTATCAATGTCCATAGTACAAATATCCAAAAGCATATGAGAGGACCAAATCCAAGGTATGGCCTTTAAGATGAGTTGGTTCCCTGACCCACTGTGTAAGGTTAAAAGAGTCAATTAGGGCAAGGAAATCCTTGGCTAGGGGGTCATCAGCACAACAAATATGTATGTTAAAATCTCCAGTAATAAGAGCTTAGTCACAACTTAATAAAAATGAACCTATGAAGTCAGCAAATTCACAAAGAAAAGACCTATTATATTTAGGCGGTCGATAAATCACAGCACATAAAACCGTTGGGGGTCCAGCAAGCTCCAATAGTTGAACCTCAAAACTAGAATAAGTAGGAGAGGGCAGTTGCTGAACTTAAAGTTTGTTTTTAAAAACAGAGGCCACGCCTCCACCTCTTTCCGAGGGTCTCGGTGAACTGAAGGTAAGGAAGAGGCCGGAACACAATCTGATCTGATAATAGTTATACAGAAGTACCACCGTGCAGTTATATGCCTCCACCAGCTGGTGAAGCTGCGCTTTACATCTACAATCACGAGATTGTAGATGTAAATCACGAGATTTATTCAATGTAGTCCACCTCCAAACCACAGGTCACAGGATAGAGGATGTAGTCTGCCTGAGATAAATGTGATTTCTCACATAAAATTATCAAACTAAAATGAAATGGTGTGTTGGTCCTACGCAGACCTGCACACAGCTTTCTGACCATCTCAGTATCTGAGCTGAGTTCTGGACACAAACGAAGCCTCTGTTTGTGAAGCAGTGCTGACACAGAGCGTCTGACAGGTATTTTTTGTAGGGGTGAATAAAGCTATTAAAATATCTCTGGTGTTTCAGTTCTCAAGCTGGTGGATGTGTAATGAATATTGACTGTCTGCTTTGAAAGGTGAAGCAGCAGCTCTAAGTTGTTAAGTTTGCAAAAATAAGGTGATCTAAAGCATAATGATCACTGCTGTACATAACGGGAAACTGACACCATGTGAGATGTCAATAAGGGACTCAAGAAAAAACAAAACAAACAAACATAGATACCAGCCCCTTCATTAGTTACACCTTGCTACTACTGAGCTGGAACTCCCTTTTTTCCTTCAGAAGCGCCTTAATTCTTCATGGTTGTAAACATTCCTCACAGGTTTTGCAGCGCGTCCTTGATGTAAATCCCTCATTTAAACATCCCACAGATGCTATTCAGCATTGAGATCCGGAGACCGTGGAGGCCATTCGAGTACAGGACACTTATCGTTGAGGTAAAGAAACCAGTTTAAGATGACCTGAGCTTTGTGACAACGACTGTGGCTTTTAAACAATCCTCCTCTGGTAGAGAGGAGGTAGAGAGAAGGACTGTTACAGGATGGATCCATGCTTTAATGTATACCAAACTTTGACCCTACATCTGAATGTCACAGCAGAAATCGAGGCATACTTTTCTTCCAGTCCTCTGTTGCGCATTTTTGTTGAGTCTGTGTGAATTGTAGCCTCTTTCTGTTCACAGATGAGAGGAGTGTTGTGCGTTCAGAGACGCTCTTTAGCCTAACTCTGCTATAACAATTGAGCCTTTCAGTTAGCTCGAAGCAGACTGGTCCTTCTTCTCTGACCTCTGCATCAACAAATCATTTTCACTGTCACTCACTGCACATCTTCTGGTTTTCAGACCATTCTCTGTAAACCCTACAGATGGCCATGTGGGGAAAATCCCAGTAGATCAACAGTTTCTGAAATAGTCAGACCAACAACCAAATCACATTCAAAGTCACTTAAATCACTTTTCTTCCCCATTCTGAGGATCTGTTTGGACTTCAGCAGGTAGACTTGACCATGTCTACCTGCATAAACACATCAAGTTGATTGGCTCATTAGAGATTTGCATTAACGAGCAGATGAACAGATGTAACTAATGAAGTGGCCAATGAGTGCAAATTCCCATTTTAAAAAAATATCAAAAGAACCACCAATAAACAGCTCTAAAATCAGGATGCCACACACACACACACATACACGCAAACACACGCGCGCACACGCACACACAGCTCAGCTCAGAGGTTTCAAGACAGGCACCCAAGATCAGCCTCACTGCTTCACTATTATACCACTGGAAATATGTCCTTAAATATGTACAAAAGTGGATTTTTGGAGGTCATGCTGACCTCGGTCTTTTACCGGAAAACTGTGAATCCAAGCCGACGCTTATGACACATTTAATGAAATTCCCTCCAGGCGTTCTTCAGCTATTGTGTGCATAAAAACTGGGCGGATGTTGTGGCTTTGATCTTTTAAACACTAAAATCTAAAGTAGTTAATCATGAGTCACAGTGAATGGATGTAGCAAATTTAACAGGAACTTCCACAGTCAGACAGAAAGAGCTGTTGCTATCCTGGCACACAAAGAAGGTACGACACCTTAAAAAGTTCCAGTTTCTGGTCGACTTCCTTTTGAAGCACAAAGTCTTTTTTTTCACTGCCTTAGGGGTTTGAGAAGATCGATGCTACTGTCCCGCTGCACAAATTCAAACTATATCCAAAAGCTAAGCTTAACACAAAGACTGGCAGCAGTAGGAAATGACTCGCACATTTCTTGAAAGCTTGAATGCTAAAACTTCTAAATGTTCGAATTTGTATAGTGTTGCCCCTTTTTCACATGCAACATAGAACAGGAAATGGTCCATTAGTCACTGAATAATCTCATGTGGGCACAATCGAACAAAACACAGACTTTGGAAACGACAGCAAGCAGGTTAAAATAGATGCACCACGCTTAGTAAATCCAAGTTACTGTCTCTCAGTGACCTCATGCAGAGCCAAGAGTTGAAAAACTGGTGAAAACGGAGCATTTAGAGCAGTCTGAGGGATTACTTTTTTATACACTTTGCTCAGGACTGCAGTGCCAGCTGAAAAGGTTAGAACTGGTCACATGGTGACAGGTCAAACCTCACTGTTTTTGTTGATTGTGTACCACGTCTTATCTTGTGATACTGGATATTTCTTCTAATCTTTCATCATAACCTCAAAACACAGGAACACAAGCTAAGCAGATGAAGAATGAGAATGGAGGAAGACAAAGAGAAGAAAACAAGTGACACAGATAGTTGAATACTTCTAGACAGCCTGGTGTTTTAGTGTATCCTTTTCAGGTTTTTGCATTTGACAAATTGAAAGAAAGAAAACAAATATTTTGTGTTTTTTCGGCTTCACCTGAGCAGGTCAATCTCGTTGTAGTTAAATTTGACTCGGTAGTCTCCAAGCCTTCTGCTGCTGCTCTGTCCCGCTATCTGGCCCGCTTGTCTTATCCGAGATGAATCCAGTCCTGCAGGAGATGAGGGAAAACGGACACATGGATGGTGAAAGCTTATAGGAGATGATTTTAAGAGAGAGGAAACTTTAGCAGAAGAGATGAAGGGGAGGATGGAGCAAAAGCACACAACTGATAAGCAGAAGCAGAGGTGGGGACGGGAAGGGAGAGGGGTGCATCTGTGTGTTTGAGCCTGGATGAAAATGCGAGGGTGGGAGGTCACCTTGGTCTGGGTAAATGGAACGACTGTCATTTTTTTTCAATCATTAAGAGAAGGGCCTGAACAATGGAATAATAATGTGAATCCCAGCAAGAGACAAGAGAACAAAGCGAGGCAGAGAGCTCGGTCTGCTCTAATGGTGTGCTGTGAAACGGCAAAAACACCCCCACACACAACAAAAACACACAAAAATGCGTCTGTTTCCCCATTTCATCCATTACAGGCCAGGCTGCACCTACTGCTCTATTGGCAAAGCTAATTACGATGTATGCATTTTCTGTTATATACACAACCCTCATTACTGGACCATTAGCCTGCTCTGTCCACCACGGATGAGCAACTGTGTGCTTTCTCTAATGGCTGTGTCTGTGCTGAGCGTTATATCAAGCACAACATGCAGGGAATGTAAGACGAGGTGTGTCTGACACTGTCAATCCAAAACCCTCCAATAGTAATGTGCCAAAAATCTATTTCTGTCCATCAGTCAGGACCAAGAAGAGTTCAAAAGAAATGTCAAGATCCCCTGACTGTATCTGAAAAGTACTTAAACTCTGAGTGATAAGTTCATCGTTTATACACCCACACCGAGCAGCGCTCCAGATTTATTTCCCCCCATCTAATAAACACCAGTAAACTAAGAGCTATAGTTTTCATGAGAACAGCTAGAGATGCTCGTCTCTCTTTTCCTATTGGCTACTGCTGTGCATTTTTCTTCTCACTTAGTAAGCGAGCCCCAGGTCGCTTGCAGGCTCTTCAGGATGCTGCTGCTACATTGCTGGTCATACTCCTGGTCTAAACTTGTGTGTGTGTGTGAATCACATCTGTCCACAGATGCAGCTTCTTCCCACCTCATCACCAACATGTGCAAGACCCAAGAGCTGTCAATGGACGTCAAGGACCAAACTGTAAACCAGCACCAGGCTGGGATGGACTACAAGACCATCAGCAAGAAGCTTAGTGAGAAGCTTCAAACTACTGGTGTGATTATCTGAAAATAGAAATATTTTCAACATCAAGCACACTCTGTCTGCGTTTATGCAAGATCTTGCCTGAAGATGGAGGATAATCACGTGAAAGGTGGTTGATTAGCTCAAAACTACACGTGAGGAGCTTTTTAATGGTCTGATGGCAACTGGGACCACAGTCACCAAGAACAAATTCGGTGACACACTGGTTACAAGGTTTACACACCTAATGGACTCAAAAGGCTTGGGTGCAGGGAAGGTTCTGTGGTCAGATGAAACCAAAATAATGCTATTTGGCATAAACTCAGAGTGCTGTGTTTAGAGGAAGACCCAAAGAACATCCATACAGTCAAGCACAGAGGTGGAAACATTAAGGTATGAGGTACAGGAAGACTTCAGTGCACTGAGGGGTCAAACAAAGAAAAATCTTGACGAGAACCTCCTTCTCTTAACCAGAACAAAAGTGAAGATGTGTCTTCCAGCATGACAATGACCCAGAGGGTAGATAAGGAGTAGATAAAGAAAACATTAAGGTTATGTAGTGGTTAGCCAGTCTCCTCAGTCCTATAATAAATCTGTGGAGGGAGATGAAGCTTCCAGTTGTGAAGCAGCAGCCAAGAAACCTAAATGATTTAGAGATTCTCTGTAAAGACGAGTGGCTCAAATTCGGGATCAAATAATGATTTTTCTCCACTATGCCACAGATAATGTGTCTCACCCAGTGCAGCCAGTCTCTGCAGCTCATCCTCGTTGTCAGTACTGTGCGGTCGGCCGATCTGAAGCACCTGGTTCTGGCCGTCACTGCTGGACTTGCACAGCAGGACTCGGTTCGTCCCTGGAACCAAAGGAAAACATGTTTGAAGGTAACTTGAAATCAACAAGAGGTAAAACTGTTAGTTGAGTCGGTTGAAGTAGATACACTAAACTGTATAGATGATCTGCTTTCCCAAGCAGAAGAAGACAAATTTTTCAATCACAGGTGCAGTTAGTAATACAAGTGACTGCATTTCACTCTGATGTGTCGAGGTATAAAGTATGTTTGATCAGTGGATCAGCTAACAGTGAACTGGAACACAGCAAACATTAACAGTATTAGTTGCTCCTATGTTGTTGTTTTTGTGCTTAAAGACATTTAAATGTTATGCAAATATTAAGGCTCTACTGGATCATGAAATTGAAAGCAGCCATTATTGCTATACTTTACCCTGTGTTCAACAAGTCTAAATCTGCTATTAACAAGGCCCCATTGTGCCTCCGATGTTTTCACTCAAGCTCTCAGCTAAGAGCTGATTCACCTCCAGGCCTTTTTTGACTTTAGTTGTTGTGGTTACTGGGCTGAATCGTATTGAAAACTACTTTCAGTGTTTCTTGTCAAACCAAACTTTGAATGGTTGTATGTGTTACTTTTACAAGGAGAACAGCACCACACAGGTCAGGAGTCAGGAGCCTTGTGGAGTAATCTGGGTCTAAAACTCAGTCTGCTTCAGGTCCCAAAGTCAAACGAACACTGCGGCATCACTGTGAGTTAAAAACTGTCTAAATTCTTTCATCTTTAATAAAATGATCAGCATTGCTGCTTTACCAGGTGTAAAAATTAAGTTTAACATCTAGGCATCCATGAAAACAGAATTTATTAAATTTAACAGAGCGAGACGTTAGAAGGAAGTTAGCTCGCTAGTTTCCACCTGAACATGATATAGCATGTTCTGACTGAGAGATTTCTGAAAAAATTAAAACGTACAGCTCTGCTATCACTTCCAACATAAACGAAGACAGAAAACTAAATAGCAGTTATGTTTGTAGGGTTACTGAAGTTGG